TTTGGCTTTCACCACATATCTGAGTAGAAACATGAAATAGGGTGTATATAAAGGATCTGTGATGAAATTACTCAGTCTTCCATTCTACCAGGTTTAAATTGAGCAGGTTTAGCAGCAGAAGATGGGACTCTCACTACCATCAAGGAAGAAGGAACAGAGAATGCAGCACACATCCTTCAGGGCTAGAGATTCCTGCAACCAGTCAGACTGGGGCCTACATGAGAGTAGCAGCAACTTCAAGGGAGAACCAGAGACCAACCTGAGACAGGGGACTTGGAAGTGCTGCCCCATGGAGCGAGCCAGCAGCCTTTGCCTAAAGTTGCTGGAGGACTGAATGGAGATGCCATAATCAGCAATCCTAAGAAAATTTTATAACACTGACTTCATCTGTGAGGCTTTAGGTCAAAGAACCTGTGAGCATGCTTGAGAGGCTGTCCTGACCAAGGACTTGTATCTTGAGTTGCTAAAATGAGAAGTAGGTGTAGGAACTGTGACCTCATGGGATTAGGTTTTGTGGTGTAGATGTTGTTGATGGGGACACTTTCCCCTTGTGGAGTTAATAGGGATCAGAAGCTCCTGTCCCTGTGCCACCATACACTGTTTTTACAATGGCACATCTTTACTTACAGAAAGTAAAGAAGACTTGATGCATTTATTACAGAACATCAAAAAACCATAGCCTCCAGTATCGATTGCATCTCAAGAAAATAAAAATCCTCACTAGTGGACCAACATGATGATAGATGGAAAAAAAAACATTGAAATTGTCAATGATTTCATTTTACTTGAATCTGCAATTAACACCTATGGTAGTAGCTAGTGGTAGTCAGGAAATCAAAAGATGTGTTGCAATGGACAAATCTGCTGTCAAAGACCTTTCCAAAGAGCTAAAGAGCAACAATGTCAATTTAAAGACTAAGGTGCGCCTGATCCAAGCCTTGGTATTTTCACTTGCTTCCTATGCATTGAAATTTGGACAGTGAATAAAAGATCACCAAAGAATTGGTATCTTTGAATTGTGATGCTGAGGAAGTACATTTAATATCCCATGGGATGGCAGAAAACAAATCTGTTCTGGAGCAAGTGCAACCAGGGCACTACTTAGAGGCAAGGATGGTAAAACATCATCTCACATATTTTGTACATATTGTTAGGAAAGGCCAGTCCTTGAAAAGGGACATCATGCTTTGAAAGGTAGAGACTCAGTGAAAGAGAAGAAGACCTTAAATGAGATGGATTGACATAGTATAGTGACTATAACAAGATGCTTAACTGGACCAGAGATAATAAAGATGGCACAGGATAGGGCGAGGTTCAGACCCATTATTGTTCATAGGGATGCTATAGTCAGTTCAACAGCATCTACCAACAACAGTATCTCTGTGTATAGACAAAGTGTTGCTGAATCATAGTCAGTTCAACAGCATCTACCAACAACAGTATCTCTGTGTATAGACAAAGTGTTGCTAAGGGCTATTTCTTCCTCACTGTCTTACAGAGACACTACTAACTGGAGATTCAGCTACTTACTTTAACTGGTGTCAGTGTATTCTACCAAATTATTTCTTGTATTCAGGCCTAACCTTCTTCTTCCTCAGTCAGCTGGTTGTAGGGATCTCATTACTGAGCATTTGTATGTTAGAAAAAGGCAGCAATGTTCTAGAAACAGGTACCAAAGGACCCTAAGACATCCTACTCATCCTGTAGTCACCTGTGACACATAGTGGCTCTGTGTACAACAGCCCTAAACCCTGCTCTATCCCATGCCAATCTTATTGTCTCCGACACGCTTATCACTATTACCCCAGTCATTGAATCAATTCACCTCATAGAGGGTCTTCCTTTCCTGCACTGTCCCTCCACCCTCCCACTTAGTATAGTCCTATAAATAATAATTCTTCTTGAAGATGAAGTGTCTGTTACTGCCCATGCCTAAATGTATGACTTAGTAACACCCATGATGGAAAACTCAGACTTGGCCACTTGATGTCCTATGGTCAGGAATTAGGCACCAACAGGGTCTAGTATCAATCTGAAAGCTTTCCTTTTTTTTTTAAGTTTTTTTAAAACTTAATAAGAGTTTTAAAAGAAAAAAATGACAAAGCTTGCCATCAAGTTGATCCTGATTCATGGCAAGCTCAAGACTGCTCAAATGGAACGGTGCTCCGCAGAGTTTTCCTAGTTTTTGTGGCGTTTTTTAGATTGTCAGAGCCGCCTTCTGAGGCCTGTGTGACAGGTGGTTGTGCTCGACTATGGCAGTCAGAGCAAGCTCGGGAGACCGAGGGATTTGTTTATTTATTACATTTTCAGATTAGCTGCTCATCTAGGCAATCTCTAGGGAAAACTTGATCAGTTTTCCATTGCCAAGCCAACGATCCACCCCTGCTGTACATTATCGTCATTGTGCCCACCTGGCCTCTGGCATTTGATCACTGTCACTTGTCTTTTTCCACTTTGGATCTCCTCATCTCCCCATCTTGCAGATGACAGCTGCAGCATCTTAGAGAAGCAAGCATCCTTCAGAACTTTGGATTCCTTCATCGATACTTTGTCAGAAGTCCTAACATCTCAGCCTCATTGAATATAGTCTACCCTTGAGTCCACATTGTAGTCAAACCAGTGAGGCAAAATTTTAAAAGCCATTTCCAGATAAGTCATCAAGTTAACACAATACAAACCCAGTCCCAAACCCATATCCATAAGTTCAGGCCACTTCAACATTGTATTCCTTAGAATCTGTTGCTAAGCAGATTCCTAGGTTTCTGCCAAAGTAAATTCATAACTCTCCTGTTTATTTTTATTTCAGTAAACTGTCCCCTCCCGGTTCTGACATTACATCATCCCCCTCCCCCCTGGAGAATCCTGGGCTCTGATTGTAGTTGAAGTGTGATGACAGTGAGAACTGTGAGTTATGTCTGAAGGAAAATAGACATGCTGTGTGAGGTAACAGCCTCAAGTGAGTTATTACAGATTCTGCAAGAAAGGGAAGGCTGATCTCCCAGACAGAGGAGAGGCTGCTTTCCCTGGCAAGAGAGTTTTAATGGAATTTAGGAATTCAGAGTTCCCAGATTGTCTAAATCTACTCAGATACTCAGATGTTCCCATTCCAAGTATCAGAATCACCCCTCCTTCACAATCAATGTCCATCATGTATGGCACTTGGTGATGATGTAAATGAAACATATGTTGTGACTTTGCAGTCCACACATTAACATTTGAGGATCTAATTTTTTTCTCTATTCATTCCAGTAAGAATATAGGGTTTAAGAAACAAGAGATTCATTTGGGGGCATCATCACAGTTCTCTGATAGTAATTTAAAGCCCCAGGTTAGTCATTTCCTTTTTGTATGCATTCCAGTACAGTCCTTGTAGTCACCATTACTACCATAGTGGACAAATGGACCAACCACTTGGTCTCCCAGCCCTTGCCTTCAGTTGGCATTTCATCTTAAGCAGGTAATCTTGTGTATGGAGGGATAATATTTGACTGTATTTTCAGTGAAAGTATGCACAGCAAAACAGGTTCCCACTCAAGCATTTTTACATATTGTTCAGTGGCTTTGGATGTGTTCTTTATATTGTGTCATCATTCACATAATTTCTGCTCTAGTTTCAGATGAAAGTACTCATAATGCCGCTATATGAATGGATTAACAGTATTCCCTTTTTCCCTTGGCAAACCAATTCTCAAATGCTATTTTGGAGGAAATTGGCTTGTGGTTTGTTGTTTTTTTTTCCCCTCAAACTTTCCTTTTGCCAACATTGTATGCTCAGGGTCCTGTCAAGACAACAGAAGCCACTCTAGATTTTCTGGATAGAAACCGTTTAATACAGAAAATTAATAAATTGTAATATTATGACTGCTGTTAAAGTCATTCCCCACAGATCTTTACTTTTTCTTTCAGAAATCTTCTGTTGCTCCTCTGCTTGTCAAAAGCAGTGTTCACATCTCCTCAGTCAGAAGAAGATAATTTTCCCATTTTACTTTTAGTGCTAAACATCCACCCACTCTCAATTAAAAGTCTGTTTCAGTAAATTTGCACACACAGTTACTGCTTTGAGCAGTTCCTTAACAATGCTAATTGCTTGCTTACAATTTCTACAAATTGCTTGGAAAGCAGATTCTTATTAAAACTTAATGGAAAAGTAAAATTTTCACCCAAAGTATTAATTTTATTTTTTAAATTTTTTAATTTTTATTATTATTATTCATTTTAATAGACATTTACAGAGGTTTTGGATTTCCATTCATTCATTGCCGCACTTTTCTCCCTGCCCACCCCTCCCCACCAGCTCGCTTTAAGTTTTTTTTTGTAACTGCACCGGCCTAGTGGTAGGAGCTGTGCTGCCAATTCAGAGGCACATGGTTCAAATCCACCAGCTGCTCTGCAGGATAAAGATGGGCAATCTCCTGTGCGATTTACTGCCTCTGAAAACCCACTAGAGGGTCAGGTATGGGTCAGTTCCTACCCGAAGGTACTTAGCAACAACAACAATTACTTTTTTATGGTTTTTTAATTAACTCTGTGTGTGTGTGTGTGTGTGTGTGTGTGTGTGTGTGTGTGTATGTGTACCATCAAAACAGATCCAACTAGTACAGGAGGAGACTGCCCCTCCTTCTCCAGCAGAACATCTGGTGGATTCGAACCATGTGTCTCTGAGATTGCAGTGCAGCTTCTTGCCACTAGGCTGCAACAACAATTGTGTGTGTGTGTGTGTGTGTGTGTGTGTGTGTGTGTGTGTGTGTGTGTGTACACGTACGTGTACCGTCAAATCAGATCTGACAGGTACAGGAGGAGATTGCCCCTCCTTCTCCGGCAGAGCATCTGGTAGATTCAAACCACGTACCTCTGGAATTGCAGTGCAGCTTCTTGCCACTAGGCCAACAATTCATTTTTTAATGAAACTTTGAAGCACAGAATTAAATTGATATAACACTTTTATTTTTCCTTTTTTATTTGAATTAAAGTGTAGAAATTATCTTGGTTTTCCATTCAGCCATTCATAAATGTTTTCTTAAACATTAATTACATACAATTAAATGTTAATACTTGCAGCATTAGTTACAGTTGATTAATGAATTTAGTACAATGTCTAGTCAACGCTTACTGTATGTTACCTTTCCCTTCACCCAATTTATCTGTTCAGTTTTACTCCCCTCTCCCTCCTTCCAATCCCTGATAACCATCTGAGAAAGGTGTTATATCTATATGTAAACCTTTTCTTAGCTTTTTATAACTGTGGTTTTATGTCATAATAGTCCTTTTGTACCTGGCTTATTTCACTTAAGCATGATCATCCGTGTTACATATTTTGTGGATTCTTTACTTTTTTTTAAAATGTATCATATACCATTGTGTGACTGTGCCATAGTTCATTTATTCATTTATCTGTTGATAGACTCTTGGATTGTTTCCATCTCTTTGCTATTGTAAATAATGCCTCAGTGACAGTGAACTCTGTAAATAAGGCCTATCGTTTGGCTGAAAGTTGAGTCAGTGGAGTGAGTTTTGTTCCAGTCTCAAAGAATGACTGAAGGTTATCCATAGGCCTGTGGGTTCTACTAGACTCTATTAGGGCGCACTGGTGGCCTGGAGGTAAGAAGCTGTGCTGCAATCCCAAAGGCACGTGGTTTGAATCCCCCAGCTGCTCCATGGAAAAAGGAATGGACATTCTCCTACCGCAATTTACTGCCTCTGAAAACCTGTTGGGGGGTCATCTATTAATCAGTTCCAACTTAATGGCACACACAATAACAACTAGACTAGCAAGGCTGATTTTTTTTATTATTATTCATTTTAATGAACATTTACAGAGACTTTGGATTTCCATTCATTCATTGTTGCATTTTTCTCCCTGCTCACCCATCCTCCCAATTAGTTCTTCTCTTTGAAAAGTAAAAAAAAATTCTTTCATTGTTATGCAGTCACTCCCCCCAAGTCCACTCCACAATGCAGCCTTCGTTCTGGACTCCTGTCATGATAATAATACCTAATCATATATCACTTTTAAACAATTCTCTCCCTCATCTGTTTCAATGCAGTGTACATTATTTATCCCCTCTTTTTCAGTCTCCCCCAACCCTGATGTCAGTCCCGTTTTACAACAGTGGCACTATGCAGTATTTGTCCTTTTGTGACTGAGAAGGCTGATGTTTTTGTGATTTTGCATTTTGTTCCATATTGCCCTCCCTCTCTGTCCAGGACCATCTACTGTGATCTCTTTTAGAGTGGTCAGCAGTATGGCCAGGCATCATCTAGTTCTTCTGGTCTCAAGGTAGTGAAGATTGAAGTTTCTGTGGCTCCTTTTTCCCTCTACTATTGTTTCTGTCATCTTTTGTTTTCGTTGTTCTTTGTTCCAGACAGGGGGAGACCAATAGCCACACCTTAAGTGGCTGCTAACAAGCCTTCAAGACCCCAGTTGCTACTCATAAAAGTAGGGTGTAGAACATAGCCTTTTTATATAACGCCTGTATGTCTGGGAAAGAATGGTCATGACTTGGGCATCAGTTAGTTATTCTCAATGAAACCAACTTTCATTGCTTTCAAGATTAGGAATGAATTGTAAGGAAAATCATACTAAGTAATAGCTAACTGTTATTTTTAAAAACACGCAGTCTTCAGAAACAATTGCATTAAGTCAGGATTCTCTGGTTACATGGGAAAGGAAAGCCAACTCACTCTGACTTAAGGAAAAGTGAATTCATTGACTCAAGTCACTGAAAAGTCCAAGGAGATAGATAGATAGATAGATAGATAGATAGATAGATAGATAGATAGATAGATAGATAGATGATAGATAGATATAGTATCCTGTTGCTCCTAACACTGTATTTCAAGATGCATCTAGAAATGATCTTTTTAACTATGAATGCACCCCTGCTTTTCCTTACCTTGTCATTTCTAGCATAGTAAATCATCATACGATTGCCTGATTAAAAATGTCCCATGCCAGGCCATCTCATTTCACATATCTATATCTAGTATGTCAATATTTATGCATTTCATTCCTCCCTTCACAACATCCAGCTTTTCTACATTTCTGCTTCTCACATTCCACGTTCCAGTCACTAGTTCACTAGTGGCACACTCAGAAGTGGGCAGAGGTAGCTCTGATATCCATTTCTAGGACTTTCCTGAAGGGCAGTGATAGAGGGGCCTCCGCGCAATGGGAAGAACTTAAAAGCAGTGCTCCTGATTATTCGCTTCGCTTGGAAGTAGAAATGTACAAATGTGAAATTGTATATGGATTTATGGTCTGTGGCCAGTGGTTTGATTGGATGATCAAGGATTTAGAAGGAAATTCCATTATTTGAAAAGGAAAGAGAAGAGATATATGGATGGATCTTTCTGAAGGGGCCACAAAAGTGAAAATATTTCTATTCCATGTGAATGTCACCAAAGGGTGACCTCACAGAGAAGAATTTTGACAGTCAGACAGGATGGCACATTCTGTGAGAAGTAGTCTGTCCCCAGCCCCTCTGGTCATCACCACCCAGTGAGCTCATGAGCAAAGTGGCCGTAGTGGACAGGATGGGAGGTTATATGATCTCAGCACCATGGATTTCCACTCACTAAAGCCAGCGTGGCTTGTGTTCCACCTTCCCTTTTCTCACAGGCCAAGATTTGTTAATGATGGAAACTTGAGCCTGGGTCCATCACTGGTCCACTTTTATGGGCTTTTTATTTGCCTCCATCTTCACTACAAGTATCTGGAGGTTTCCTGTTTTTTCTTGAAGTCTAACCATATATTGAGAGAGATTAAAAAAAAACCCACAACAACTTGGTTTTTAGACAGCATCCTAGGTGTTTAGCACTCTGTAGACCACTATTTAACTGGACCTACCATCTTTCCCCTCACTCCTCCCTTAGTTCCTGGTCACCTTTGAGGCCTTACTTTATAGGTCACGTCTCAAAGGGGTATTCCCTAATTCTCCATTCCAATCTAAGCTAGTTTACCTTTTTGTATTGTTCACAGCCATCTGCCATCCAGTCAGTTCTGACTGAAGGCGACCCTGTATGTGTCAGCGTAGAACTGTGCTCCATTATATTTTCAAGGCTGTGATGTTTGTGAAGCAGATCACCAGGCCTGTCTGAGAAGGCCCCTCTGGATAGTTCAGACTACTGATGCTTTACCGTTTGTGCCAGCAAGGGAGCTTTGAACTACTTATAGTACGCTCTGTCTAGCTTAGCCCTTATCATTGTAACTTCTGAGGCACATTGAATATCTCATGCACCCTCCACATGGGACACTGCGTGAGGACAGGCACAGAACCTATTTGGTTCAGCACAGAGCAGACAGTCTAAACTGTAGAGGATGCTCAAGAAACTTAACAAACTGAACAAACAGTTTTCTAAAAATCCAGTAACTGATGATATGATATTAAATATGATTATAAATTATAAAATAAGATGCTTTATCTTCTAAAATAAAACCTACTCTCTTCTGTAAAGACTGTATTCTCTGACAGCACACCCAAAGGTCATGTGACCCAGTGTGGCCATCCCGTGTTCTGAGGAGCAGTGTGGCTGCACTTCTAAGCCAGATCTGTTTGTGGTTTTGGTAGTTTGTGGCATATTCAATACTCTGCCAACACTCCTATTTAAAAGCAAAAAAAAAAAGACTGTATTTTCCAAGAAGAAAATGCTTTGATTGGGGAAAAACAACCCTAGTAGTTGACACATCTTAGAAAGGCCTCACCACAACAAGATAAAAGTAAATAATCCAATAGAAAAATGGGCACAGGATATGAACAGGCATTTCACCGAAGACGACATTCAGATGGCTAACAAACACATGAAGAAATGCTCAAAATGCCTAGCCCTAAGAGAGATGCAAATTAAAACAACTATGAGATATC